GACAAAGTTTAGATACTCAAGACAGTTGGTTTGGTGCAAATACTCAAAGCTACGCAGTGTTGTAGTTTATAACAGAAAACCTTAGAAATAAATATCTAAAGGATATTTTGTAGGATTCTTTCTCGAACTTTCTAGAACATAAATGTGACCAATATTAGCAGTCTTATCTTGTGCTTTTGTTGTCAGTGCTAATCATGACGTCAATACTTCCAGCTTTCTATTAGTAAGTAATGCTAATTGTAACGTCAATATTTCCAGCTTTCTCTTAGTAAGCAATGCCAATTGTGACGTCAATATTTCCAGCTTTCTCTTAGTAAGCAATGCTAATTGTGACGTCAGAATTTCAAGCTTTCTCTTAGTAAGCAATGCCAATTGTAACGTCAATATTTCCAGCTTTCTCTTAGTAAGTAATGCTAATTGTAACGTCAATATTTCCAGCTTTCTCTTAGTAAGTAATGCTAATTGTAACGTCAATATTTCCAGCTTTCTCTTAGTAAGCAATGCTAATTGTGACGTCAGTATTTCCGGCTTTCTCTTAGTAAGTAATGCTAATTGTGACGTCAATATTTCCAGCTTTCTCTTAGTAAGTAATGCTAATTGTGACGTCAATATTTCCGGCTTTCTCTTAGTAAGTAATGCTAATTGTGACGTCAATATTTCCGGCTTTCTCTTAGTAAGTAATGCTAATTGTGACGTCAATATTTCCACATTTCCCGTAGTAAGCAATGCTAATTGTGAAGTCAGTATTTCCGGCTTTCTCTTAGTAAGTAATGCTAATTGTGACGTCAGTAAATTAGTTATCGGGACTTATTGCGATAAAGTATTGCCGCCATATTATAAGATACATATATATATATATTAGTGGTTATCGTTAGTTAACAGCTTAATATATGAGACTTGATGTGAAATCATTCATCTCATATTGACATAAACCTGTTAAATCTCGTGGATAACATTGAGTAAACTATCGCAGGTACCAAATAATACTCGAAATTTTCGGGAGGATTACCATGTTAAGTTACTACCGTCACTCATATACACAAGCTGGAAAATGCGAAGAATAAGATTTTAACAACTTTTTCATTTTCGGCTTGTAATTCTTTGGTAATTAAAACACAAATCATCCTTTAGCAAACTTGCGAAACTACCATTATACAAAATCGCTGCTTTCAAATACAGACTTTGTGGAAAATCGTTTATCATCTTTGTCTTTTCTTCCTTTCAAATGTGTGAAATCGATGAACATATAAATAAATATTGAAACTTAACAGATATATAAGGAACGGTGAATTATCAGAACAGTTAGTTAAAGGGGCATCACCGTAAAACATCGATTTTATAACTGTTTGTACGTGGGTTTTTTTCAATACTTCCCGTTCTATGCTATTCCGATATTCACGGTCGTTTTCCAATGTCAAGCTTGATCACTTCTTCGGTTCGGGAAACCTCTCTCAAATTTAGCGCTGATAACGTCACGCAAGTTTTGAAAACGAGGCAGTTAATAACAGCACCTGATTTAGTTAAGAGTGTGATAAATGTTATTTGATAACTCTCAGTCAATTCAGAATTACGAAATATGTAAGATTTATCTTCCCCGGATTCAAGCGGGAGGCCATTTTTGTCAGTTACAGACGAATTTGTTTTGTGCGCATGCGTTAACATATATGACGCAAAAATGACATTATTTAGACTGTGGATCAACAGGCAGTGATTTGCCATTTACAATTATCAAGTAACCTGTTTATGTGCATATTTCTATTCAGCGGAAAGTGTCAGTCATTGTTCATAAGGTGATGATACACTTGATACTTATATGCAATGTTAAAAAACCAGTAAGAAAATGACATCGTTTCACTGTGATGTCGCTTTGAGAGAAAGTTGACATCGAATTACAGCTTTCGTTTGTCCTTTCATGGAAACAACTGCGAATTTCTGCTGAAAGTCTATCGAAGTTTATTGAAAATGTAGGTCACACTGACTTATAAATGTTCTAAGCATGTCATATATCTTTTATATATCACCGTAAGGTATGCAACGTTTCGGTATTTTCACCTTTGGAATGTTCATATCTATGATTTTGAAAAAAAGCGTGCAGAAAGGACAGAATATGAAAGAAAAATAGAGAAATGTTTAGCTATAGACGTCTCAGATCTGTAACATGCATCAATATTCTGTCACCGTCAAAATTAGGCAATGACTGGTGTATGGTTCGACTGTCACATGTCCTTTATACAATAGATGACTAATACAGGGTAGCTACAGAACATTGATCTCACAATTATCGATCACTGAATGGTGTATTGGTTATTTTGAATAAAGGGACCCAGTACACCTCAGGGGCAGCGGGGCGTGGATTATTGCACTGTTACAAAGCTATTTGAATAGATTCCAAATATAAATTGCTCATCGGTATGTAATAGTACATGTATTTAGACTTACGACAAATCTTGTTACGTGAAAATAACACAAGGTTTGGTTTTTCGCTTCCTTCACTCCAAAACAATTAGGGATATTTCTCTTCTCCTGACACCCAAAAAGAGCTTTAACCTATTTTATTGTTTTTAAACAAGAAGATTGAACACATGTTATTCTAACTAGTTAAGTCGCTTTCTCTGAATTCTGAAGATACGAATTAACAAGCAAATCAAGTGACAGGTAGTGTTCATCACTGCCTGTGTCACAGTGAGAAAAGCGACCGCTTTATCACGATAGTTGTGGTGTCTTCGAAGGTTCGTATAGTGATATTTGCCGTTTATAATAGGAAACTGGATATCCATGTTGTTGTTGAACCTCAAAGCCATATCGATATATGTACTTGCCAAAAACAAGGATCAGATCTAGATATTGCTAACCAGTATCGTGTATTAGTTTGTTCTGTGTTACAAACATTAAGAAGTACAATTAAGTATGTTTAAGGGTAAATACTTAACTTGGAGTTGTATGTAGCAGTTTAATCCTTCTGCAAGGAATTCTTTGTAATCAATCGTGACACTGTGTCCAAAGGCTTGCACATTTTACAGAATACTGTTGAATAAAACGAAACACTTACAACATACATTGTATCCCTTCAAGCATCCATGTGGAATAAAAGCATAAATGTCTTTAATAATTCGGTTGAGCTTTAAAAACAAACATATACATTGTATACATATAGGACATGAAAGACATGTTGTCGGAATGTTTTTAAAAAATAACTCCCATAAAGGAGATCGCGTCTAATTTCATGTTTCAGACTTAGGAACCGTCACTCTCCGCAAAACAAGAAAACCGTGTCAAACAAAGAAGGCCTTGAAAGGTCCCGATTCGGCATGGACCTTTAATCTAATAAAGCATCGTCAAATTTTCTTTACACGTATGTGTGTGTGCAGTATTGTGAAATTAACCTCGGAGACATGTGTTTTCCGAACCGTCAGTAATATTTTGGAAACGTGTGTTTTCGGTATCGTTACTGGGTTTTTTTTTAGACACATGATTTCTGTACCTCCAGTTTAATTTTGGAGACATGTGGTTTCTGCACCTCCAGTTTTATTTTGGAGACACGTGGTTTCTGTACCTCCAGTTTAATTTTGGAGACATGTGGTTTCTGCACCGTCAATTTTCTTTGAAAGACATGTGGTTTCTGCACCTCCAGTTTTATTTTGGAGACAGGCGGTTTCTGTACCGTCAATTTTATTGTGGAGACACGTGGTTTCTGTACCGTCAATTTTACTTTCGGAGACATGTTGTCTCTGTACCTCTAGTTTTATTTTGGAGACACATGGTTTCTGTACTGTCAGCTTTATTTTGGAGACACGTGTAATTTTGAGAGGTGTGTATTCGGTAACAACACTTTAATTTTAGAAACATGTGTTTGCAGTACCGTGCGTTTTATAATGTATTGAATGTGAAACATGTGTTTGCAGTACCGTGCGTTTTATAATGTATTGAATGTGAAACATGTGTTTGCAGTACCGTACGTTTTATAATGTATTGAATGTGAAACATGTGACAGGGTCTTTTTATCTCATTGGTGTTGATTTGAAGAGGATTTTGGCACTAGTATCATGGCTAGTGTAGTCTTCTCACTGTTCAGGAAACGGATTGATAACAAGTGTGTGGAACTTGGACAGTATCATCCTACAGAAAACGGACGGACAGACGGATTGAGTAGCTAAACGCTAGCCTTACTCTAACATAGTGAGCGGCAATGTTGGTATGGTGTGCCGGCTGTATGTAAATGAGATCATCACGCCGTAGCACGTGATCACTAGGGACACGTTGTCAAACGGTGGAAAAACCCAACAATCTATTTTTAAAACATTACTCAGGAGTACATTTATATATTGTATACAAAAAGAACGCAGTGTATGTATAGCCATTGCACAACTTGTCCTAGTTACATGTAAAATTTACATGCCGGTGTTTTAAACTCCCGTGTATATATTTATTCTGACGAAATGGTTAAGAATGACTTATTTCAAATTACGATGAAGCAGTAATCCTATAAAATGTTCCTAATACAAAAACGAATAAAAATACTCTCTGTAATTTCTATTTTCAAATGAAAAGGGGTTTGAATGTGTGTTGTATGTCTACACAGCGTTATTTTTGTATGATTAACAATGAATGTCTTGGTATCTTGCAGTTTTATACGACATGAAAGCAACAAGCATAGATTAAAGAAAGTTTACATTAAAATTAATTTAACTTACCTGGCTGTTTCTTCACTGCCGCCTCTACAATACAGTCAAACCACACTGAAATAACTGCATAAACGACATACAATTGTCAGGTATTTCCAGTTGCACTATTTTTGAAATTTTAATACTTTAAATAAAGACTCAATATAAATTGATATCAGTTCTGTATCCTTTAATCGGTAAAATACCAAACTCACCTCTGAGCAAGTAATAATTGTATCGTAGAAACGCAGTACTATTTAGTCCTGAGCCATGAATGGAATATCGGATCACCCCATTTTTACTACAAATAGCATAAGTCTGTAAGAGGCCCATGCGACTATGAGTCACGAACTTAGGCAGGTATTAGTAGCCTGTTCCACGCTGTTCAAACCAACGAGTAATACCGGCCACGTGTCCCCGTGTTTGTTTACATTAGTCGGCGCAAGAAATATATTATTGAACTAAATATTTGAGGAAATGTTCTGTCTTTGGTTTTAACTGTTTGATTTCTGTGATGATTCAGATTGTGTTTTCTTGAAGTTTATCCAATGACAAAATGTTTGAAGCTCAGCGACTAGGAGTACATGTACACAATACCGGCATTCGTATGTAAATGAGAACGGCCATCTTGCCTGCCCTAATTCATGACGTCAACACAGTCACATGAGTGTTTCGTCATCTAAAAATAGATATTCGATCCTTAGTATTTAAACTAAGCCGGAGGTATGTTGTCCGCATTTCCATGACAGGCTTAGCAAGCAACAACGTCGATCATATAGCGTTTACTATTTCACAACGGCTTGCAATTTGGAGTGCTACTTTATGTATGAAGGAATTTACACAAACAGCAATTCTACAAGGAATTTTTATAATTTGCCATTTTGAGGTAAGCAATATTTTTACCGGTGATTTCACGTTAATAGTATTGTCACCAAAATATACTGATGGTTATAGTACAGATTTGTTTGTAAACAAACACATGTAGTATGGCATGCAGTACGCGATCAAGCATGCCTAGAAAAAGACGAGTTTTTGGTTAAACCGAAGCGAGAATAAGAAGTTTACTAAATGCTTCAGTGTACTGAGACGAAACGATTGTTATTTATCTGTTGTTAACCCAGGTAACGGTAATAACAATGATTGTCTTTGATTAGGTATTGATTATTTGGTGCGCGCTGCGCGGAATATTCACACGTGCACTTCGCAACTATGGAAACAATTAACATTTATTTACGGTACATCATCAATGTACCTAGTGTTATTGTTCTTTTTTATTTATTTATTTTTAATTTTTGTATGTTTGAGGAAGTTAAATTGTTTTATTGTTGCATTGAATATATATATATATTTGTTTTAAATTCGATGTTATATTTGTGACATACAAATTGTAAAACCATAAACGCACAAATATTTTATCAAAAAAAAACCCAGGTTCGTGTGTCTGTTTAGCTTGATTGTTTTTAAAACGTTTCACCGACGTCGGTGTTTCATTGATAAACGCTTACGAGGCAATTTACATAGGAATGAGGTTATAAGGAGTGGTCGTAACACTATATCGTGACTGAAACTCTACGATTCATTGATTTTATACGTTGATACGGTTTCTTGAGTTGAACTTTAATCATATGATGAATATTAAATGAAATGTTTTCTTTTGTCTCTAATGCGAATTTTTTGATAATGATACAGTGCATGAATGTATGTTTTTATAATACACATGACAATACATATGTGTATAAAAGAGTAGATATGATGTATGGTAGATTACTGGGGACTTGATCAGGTATAGACCTGTACAATTTCCCTATTTTTATGTATATATGTTTCCTAGCAGAATATTATTTCCTTAACCGAGCGATTCCTAAATCTCCCATACTAAACCAATCATTGATGATTTTCTCTTCGATAATTCACTTTATGCAGCCAATCACTGACAGCCTCCCATGAAACCAAACCCCAATGCACCGCTTAGCCAATCACAACAGTTTTCTTTATTTCCAATGTTTTGTTTCAGACTCAGAAATGGTCAAACAAACACAGAACGATATATTGGACATGCTGATTGGCTCCGGCTCTGATTTGAGTGAATATTTAACTCCTGAAGGTGACGTGATTGGCTATTCTGCATACAGAACAATGGATTCCACCATGGATTTCCTTGACGACAATGTCGTAGATCCAATGAATGTGGCTCTCTGTCAAGGTTAGTTAAAGTCTTCATATCACGTGCCGTTACTGTTTCAAACAGCTTTATATATCAAATGTTGGATTGTATAAATAGGAAACTTATCTATATAAACCTGTTAAACTTCAAATTAATCTCTTTTTTCAGATATACAAGAGACGCCTGAACCATCTGCCGAGATAGAGGTCGAACAATTACAATTCACATTTGACCCTTCTGAAACATCTATAGAACTCCTCAAACTGATAACAAATACTTCTGAAAATGAAGATAACCCATCTCCATCATTAGAAAGCGTGTCGGACTGGAATGAAGTTGGGGCGGAAACGGAAGTGGAAGAAATAGTGTCGCCAATTTTGAAAGCCGAGATAAATAACAGGATCCGGAAACGCAGACGGGTGGAGGGGAAGGAGGAACTTACGGAACTGTTTGTGGAGCCACCACCAGAACAGGTAAATAATTTGGCCCAGATATTTAATGATGGATAGGGTATAACCATGTAAATAAAACCAGTGAGATACTGGATTATGTATCCATATATGTGTATGGATGCAAAGAAATCGATGTAATTTGATAGAGTCAGGTGACATGCAAGAAAAAAGCAAAATATTTAACCTTGATATGTTAAGTTTTACCTGGTTCAATGTTCTTAACTCATTACGTCATATTTAACAGTTGACTGAGGAAGAAGAAAGAAAAAGGATAGAACGCCGAGAGAAAAACAAACTGGCAGCACAGAAGTGTAGGAGTAAGAAGAGGAAGGTGGCCGACACTTTAGAGGCTGTAAGTAAACGGTTCACTTATCAATAATAGTGGCTTTAATTATACAAGTATGTTCATCATACAATTGTCGAATTATATAATAAAAGAAATCAAAATACTTTTTATATCTAATTACTGTCAGCTGATTATTGTTGAAATGAATACCCTTTCAAAACCCTTTGCATTGTTTGCTTACTATAATACTTATCTCTACAGGAGACTGAGAAGCTGGAGGAAAAACAAGAAAAACTGAAGGACGAGATTCAGCGGCTTAGAGATGAACGAGACCATTTGATGGAACTGGTCAAGGTTCATTCCTCGGTTTGCCCAAAAATGAAATCCTCAAAATGAACATATTGTTTGACGATTGAACCCCACCGATCTTTGAGGCAACCTCATGCTCTCAGAACCAGAGACATATATTTGTAGCTAGTCAGAACTGACTATCTCAAGAATCGTTCTTTCGAGAGCTATAATGTGTTTCTAATGTGGTGCTCCAATCCGTGGTTTGAAGCGGATATTTCACCATACAAACATCCTTGGCGGATATGAGTATACTACAAACATGGTGCTCAAACTGATTCTCGTCATAAAGGCAAATCTGCTGATCTGTATGTAGGAAATCGAGATTGACACCGTGGCGCTATTTAACGGAAGTTGCGATCTAAAAGACAAACTGATGCAGATTTGCTCTGTATTTATCTCATAACGTTTACAAACTCATGGCATCTGAAGAACTGATTACATTAGCTCTATTTACAAAGTTCTTGTTTTCAATCAGAATTCATCAATGATACTATGATGGCAGCTCCCTATGTTTACCTAAAGTTGGGCCACCCTTGGTAGAAGTTGTCTCCTCAAAAACTCTGGACAAACCTTATGACCTCTATATTTAGAATTTATAGGATTTTAATTGCATACGCTTAACATCCTTAGAGATGACAATGAAGAAGTGTGATCCTCTTGTTTAAAAGCGAAATTTACCTAATACTCACAAGGGAACAAATGGTGACGAACTGTTGTTCATTGCTGGCGTAAGGTATCAACTGCCAGTGAAAGATATTCCTGTTTTGGCCAGTTTGATCCAGTTCGGATCTTGTTATAAAGAGTGAAAAAATCAAACGACTGAGTTATTCGTCGGTATAACCTGAAATAGTGATGTACAGATGTCGTTATGTAATAGAGACATGGCTCAGTGATTTCAGACGAGTCACCCTGGTCACTGTTACCAAGGTAATGATTTGTTGTAAGATTTATGTCTGATGAACTTTTCAGTGTGTTTATTGTTGTATCGATATCACCATTGTTTACTCGAAAAGTGACTTTTGAACCATGAAAGAATGGCGCGTGTTTATTTATAGGGAGGAATGCCTGTTAAACCGGGCACACCAATGACCTCGTGTGTGGCCTGTGTGTGATGTGAAAATGTTAACATTTGTACCAACTCATTTTGTTGTCTGTTGTTTAGTTGGATTTAAGTATTAGAAATCTATAAGCATTTATAAAAATAACTTTATTACAATATTTTTCGTAATAAAAATACAAACAAAAAATATTTCTGTTTACTCTTTTGTATCTCGAACGTATTGACAAGTTCACTGATAATTACTGACGGAAAATACAACTAATTACGGACATACAGTCCTAATTACTGAAATAGTCCTAAACAGAGAAACAGTCCTAATGACAGGTACTGACCTAATTACTGAAATAGTCCTAAACAGAGAAACAGTCCTAATGACAGGTACTGATCTAATTACTGAATAGTCCTAAACAGAGAAACAGTCCTAATGACAGGTACTGATCTAATTACTGAAATAGTCCTAAACAGAGAAACAGTCCTAATGACAGGTACTGATCTAATTACTGAATAGTCCTAAACAGAGAAACAGTCCTAATGACAGGTACTGATCTAATTACGGAATAGTCCTAAACAGAGAAACAATCCTAATGACAGGTACTGACCTAATTACTGAAATAGTCCTAAACAGAGAAACAGTCCTAATGACAGGTACTGACCTAATTACTGAAATAGTCCTAAACAGAGAAACAGTCATAATGACAGGTACTGATCTAATTACTGAAATAGTCCTAAACAGAGAAACAGTCCTAATGACAGGTACTGATCTAATTACTGAAATAGTCCTAAACAGAGAAACAATCCTAATGACAGGTACTGACCTAATTACTGAAATAGTCCTAAACAGAGAAACAGTCCTAATGACAGGTACTGACCTAATTACTGAAATAGTCCTAAACAGAGAAACAGTCATAATGACAGGTACTGATCTAATTACTGAAATAGTCCTAAACAGAGAAACAGTCCTAATGACAGGTACTGATCTAATTACTGAAATAGTCCTAAACAGAGAAACAGTCATAATGACAGGTACTGATCTAATTACTGAATAGTCCTAAACAGAGAAACAATCCTAATGACAGGTACTGACCTAATTACTGAAATAGTCCTAAACAGAGAAACAGTCCTAATGACAGGTACTGACCTAATTACTGAAATAGTCCTAAACAGAGAAACAGTCCTAATGACAGGTACTGATCTAATTACTGAAATAGTCCTAAACAGAGAAACAGTCCTAATGACAGGTACTGACCTAATTACTGAAATAGTCCTAAACAGAGAAACAGTCCTAATGACAGGTACTGACCTAATTACTGAAATAGTCCTAAACAGAGAAACAGTCCTAATGACAGGTACTGATCTAATTACTGAAATTTGTCCTAATCAGTAAACACGTAATGGTTGTCATGCTACCTTGATTACCGAGGTTACGTCCTAATAACTAAAGTATACAGATATAATGATGTAAATTAATCATTTATAAAGTAGTATTTGAAAAGTAATTTTTATCACTGACACAAAAAATGTCCTTACTACTCACAAAGAGTCCTTATCAAACAAGAGGATACTCCTATATACCGATACATTGTAAGAATACTCCTAAATACTGACACATTGTGAGGATACTCCTAAATACTGACATTTTGTGAGGATACTCCTAAATACTGAGACATTGTGAGGATACTCCTAAATACTGAGACATTGTGAGGATACTCCTAAATACCTACACATTGTGAGGATACTCCTAAATACCGACACATTGTGAGGATACTCCTAAATACCGACATTTTGTGAGGATACTCCTAAATATTGAGACATTGTGAGGATACTCCTAAATACTGAGACATTGTGAGGATACTCCTAAATACCGACATTTTGTAAGGATACTCCTAGATACTGACATATTGTGAGGATACTCCTAAATACCGACACATTGTGAGGATACTCCTAAATACCGACACATTGTGAGGATACTCCTAAATACCTACACATTGTGAGGATACTCCTAAAAATCGACACATTGTGAGGATACTCCTAAATACCGACACATTGTGAGGATACTCCTAAATACTGACATTTTGTGAGGATACTCCTAAATACTGAAATCCTTAAAATCCTTATTACTAACTTACAATCCTAATGACAGACGAACCATCCTAATTACTGACATACAATCCTAATGACAGACGTACCATCCTAATTACTGACGTACAGTCCTTATTACTCATGAACCATCGGAAGTAAGAATGTACCCTCCAAACAACTGACGTACAGTCCTAATTACTGACGTACCATCCTAATTACTGACGTACAGTCCTAATTACTCATGAACCATCGGAAGAACGAATGTACCAACCGAACAACTGATGTACAGTCCTGATTACTGAAGTACCATCCTAATGACTGACGTACAGTCCTAATTACTGAAGTACCATCCTAATTACTGAAGTACCATCCTAATGACTGACGTAGAGTCCTAATTAATGCTGTGCCATCCTAATTACTGACGTACAGTCCTAATTACTGCTGTGCCATCCTTATGACTGACGTACAGTCCTAATTACTGCTGTGCCATCCTAATGACTGACGTACAGTCCTAATTACTGCTGTGCCATCCTAATTACTGACGTACACTCCTAATTACTGCTGTGCCATCCTTATGACTGACGTACAGTCCTAATTACTGCTGTGCCATCCTAATGACTGACGTACAGTCCTAATTACTGCCGTGCCATCCTAATGACTGACGTAGAGTCCTAATTAATGCTGTGCCATCCTTATGACTGACGTACAGTCCTAATTACTGCTGTGCCATCCTAATGACTGACGTACAGTCCTAATTACTGCTGTGCCATCCTAATGACTGACGTACAGTCCTAATTACTGCTGTGCCATCCTAATGACTGAAGTACCATCCTAATTACTGAAGTACCATCCTAATGACTGACGTAGAGTCCTAATTAATGCTGTGCCATCCTAATTACTGACGTACAGTCCTAATTACTGCTGTGCCATCCTTATGACTGACGTACAGTCCTAATTACTGCTGTGCCATCCTAATGACTGACGTACAGTCCTAATTACTGCTGTGCCATCCTAATTACTGACGTACAGTCCTAATTACTGCTGTGCCATCCTTATGACTGACGTACAGTCCTAATTACTGCTGTGCCATCCTAATGACTGACGTACAGTCCTAATTAATGCTGTGCCATCCTTATGACTGACGTACAGTCCTAATTACTGCTGTGCCATCCTTATGACTGACGTACAGTCCTAATTACTGCTGTGCCATCCTAATGACTGACGTACAGTCCTAATTACTAGTGAACAGTCATATTCAATATGGTACACCGTTTTTATAACCAAATCGTGCTATACAAATCATTACAGTGAAACCTTTACTACCGATAAATAATAACATTTTCTTAAAATTTGTTCCAACTACTTTTATGCACTACAAGTGTTTCCATTGAAAGCTAAATAATCAATTGGAAATAATAAGAATTGATTGGCCGTGCCAAAATAAACAAAAATCTGTACTAACTTCTGTAAATTATCTAACTATATGAAAATAAACACATTTTCTGAAATCTCCCCAAATGCCTTCTTATTTACATTTAACACCGTATGGTCACTGCCAAAACAATGATTTAGGGAACCAGGAAATTTTGTTAAAACATTACATTATACGATAATATCAGATTCGAAACGTGCTCTAATGGAGCGTGGCATGCTAGTAAAGCCACGTCAGAAGTCTGGGAATCTGATGTAATCCTGTTCGTATGCTTAGTGTATATCTACATGGACATGCTGTGACATCAGTGGGCAGTGGGCAGTGGACAGTCACCATCAAACTTAATGAAACGTGAGATCCAACTAATTTTGACAAGATAAAACAGAAATAAGGCCATTATTGTTTTCCGGCCCTCTCTAGTGTCGCGTGATCATTGGGCATGAAGATATTGAAAGATTATTGACCAAGTTAAAGAAAATTGCTAGAAAAACGAAAATATAATATCGACATTTATTTTTTTTATTAAATCATAATCACTTTTAATGATTTTTCTTTGTTATGTCTAAGTGGAGTGAACAATTATTACCGGTGTGTTCTAATTTGCATACACATGAGATTGTGATGGAGATGATGACGTAAACACAAACATGCCGTTTATGTTTTGATTTATACAATATAGTTACATTTTTCACCCTATCTAAGCCTAGGGCAAATTTGTCAGTATAATTAATATTGTCTGTGTTATACAGAATGTATACATCTGCATGTAAAATGAAAACAATAACTATGTCCGTCGGAGGCTACGGGATCTGTTCCGTGTACGTGTATTACTTTTTGTTTTATGTGGCACGTGGTCGATGATAATAATTTCAATTACAGCAGCATCACCGTTACAAGCATCACCTTAATTTTTAGCAGTGCATGTAATTGTCATGTACATATACATTTAACGCGTCCTGTTTTGTGTTTTCTCTAGTTTCACTGAGTGTGTACAATTCACAAGGCATTACCTTAATCTTTTTTCTTTAAATATTTCACAATCTTTCCTCTGGTTACCCAAATCATACTACCCCGTCAGGCGTGAAATAAGGTGACTTCAATTCCTTCCGGCTAACGCAACCTACCGCTCCTCATCTTTCTTCTTTGTTCAAAACTTTTTTCTCTCTATCCTGGTTTTAATATAACCACGGTAACAAGATTAGTTCAAGAATACGTACTATTCATATATTTATTAAAATCACAAGGTCGATAATATTCATTTTTGTATAATTAGCATGCATAGTAATGTTACTTTTCGCTCAAAATCCATGTAGAAAATATCACATTTTTATAGAATATTCTGGAATCTCTTCGTGGTCTACACAGTCTGTCATATTACTGTGTCAGTCGATAAATATTCTGACCAATCAGCGAGCGATACGTTAGATCTAAAATTAACCACGCTACTGTAACCATCACGGGATATTTCGTCACCACCGAGAAATGCCGAGGGATATCCCGTTGAATGACCTTGACTCTTTACAATTTTCTGATGCAATTTTCTACGGCAGCCGAACTGTACAAAGCGGTCGTGTATACATATTTAAACGAGACTTTGAACTCCCATTATACGTGGTTCTGTTTCACGTTCATGTGTACTAACATTGTGATAGGTTAGTTAGTAGATACTAGTACGGTTTGCCGATAATGATTTCATGTAAACGATCGATGTTAGATAATGAATATCAGTGTGGCACACGCATGATTCCGTACATTTCAGATTCGCAATCTGTATATAGCGCAGGTAACCTCGTTCGGCCTTCACTTCACGTTGCGATCAGCTGAGAGAGAAACCTATCGTCCGTATCAATACACTTGTACCAGCTATTCTTACGAAACCACTCGACAGTTTACGATTTCAAAGTTAACCAATTCTAAGTGAATTATTCTTTATTTTTGTGAGGAAATACTCATCAAAATTCATAGAAGAGAAAATGGTTCGAGTGTTTGTTCAGAAGGAGTCCTGTTGTAGCGAGCCGAGGAACGTCGGGGAAGGGGTTTGTTCCGGACCCAGGGAAGTCATTGACCGAGAAAGGGCTGAAATGGCAGTGCAGGCAGTTACCAAAGTGGAAAATGGAGATACAAATTATAACTTTAATAACTATAATAACTATAGTGCCATTCTTTCCCCGGATACATCCTCACAGTCGTCTTTCTGTGACTCGGAGAGTGACAACGGCTCCATGGTTATAAACGAGGGAACTGGCTCTGTTGAATCTAGTGGCGACGTGATGGTAAGTATACTGTGATCTACAGATGTAATACTATAGTTCAGTATAATAGAGCTACACTTGATGCAATCAATGCTGTTTATTGCACCAATCAGTAGTTTACAATCTAGGTCTGTATTTACGCAGTTATTTCGTTTCGCTTTACATTCTCGCCATTACGTGATACTACAGTAAAAATTTGACGAATGATGATAATACACAGAAATATCAAGATCTGTCAAAACGAAAGTTGATACTCTTGTTATACACGTCATGGCATGGTGATAGCCTTATATAACACAGGTTGTAAGGATTTATATTTTGTTCAATAGACGAAAGAGGAGAAGAGAAAAGCAAGAAGACGAGAGAGAAACAAGAAATCTGCACAAGCTTACAGACAACGTCGTCGGCAACAATCCGGATCACAGATCGAGGTAAGTCTCTAACCTTACATTAACTTTTTAGTCAATAAAATTATCTTTGTTCATTTATATGTAAACTTATAATATTTAGGATTTGGAACCGGATATGGGCAACGTAAGTGCCCCATTCACAATGGCAAATCCCTTTAATTTTCCCAATTAAAACACTAAAACTCCCGAAATAATAGAAGAAACTTGGATGGTTCGGTCCAGTCAGAGACATAAATAACAATATATACGTCTCTGGTCCAGTGTACAATTTGTTTACAATCCTGGGTTAAGATGGTGGTGTTTTGATTCAGCAAAGTATGAGAGCAACACAAGTTAGGCCTACACCAACCTATGAATTATTTTGTATTCTAACCTCATTTTTGTTTTCTTACAGACCTTGAAGACACTTGAAGGGAAAAACCAGGAACTCTTGCAGAAGGTTCAGCGCCTTGAGGAAGAAAAGAAGTTTATTGAGGAGCTTTTGAAGAACAAGATTAAGATTCCCTGGCATATTCGCTGGGCCTTACCACCTACATGGCATCAACCTACAACAACACCCCCTCCCACAACAACAGGGATGATGACCGTCGCCATGGGCGCCCCAATGTCCATGGGAACCGAGGTCACGTGTGCTTCGTGATGCGCATGCAGTAAAACAAGGATTTTACTGCCGCTCACTGCATACTACGATGACTGCGACTGCGCAGTATCCACGGAGACTGACTTGAAAGTGTCATATTCTGTGAGTCGAATGTGCTGGCCCGGGCTTGAATTCGCAAGTTTCCAACATGGGCTTTATGATTTGGCTTTAGGACAAATCTCGGTCATTCTGACGTATGACAACTTAACACTAGTCTCATCAATTCCATCTACATTCTTACCACATAGTTCTTTGGAGCGTCTTCCGCCATCACATGATAAATCTGACGGTGGGGATGTCTCTAGTATTGATTGCCTTGTCCTTGAGGGATTTTAGTTCCACGTGGACTGTGGTATTGTACACACGACAAAGTGAAAAGAAGAACTTTTACTGTGTTGAACAAAAACTTCAGACTTGTCATCGTCTTTGAACTCTTGTCATTGAACAAACATGTTGAATAAACATTCTCCATCACATTATAGTTTTATTTAACCAGAACACACTGAGAAAATCAAAATGTTCATGATAATGCTAAATACTCGGGAAACGAAAGTATAACTGCGATGAAGCCCACGTATTTTTGTACATATTTACTCTAAGGTAATGGTAACTCGGCGGAGTCCTTTAACCGTTTTTTGTATTGTTTTTTATATAGTGATTTTGTGAGCGGCAGATTGAGAGAAGAGACACTGATATTGTCAGTAGTCGACTCGTCGCATATCGATGAGGAAAAACAAGTAACATGTATTATACTGAAATTAATAAATTTGTATCGTATTTAACAAAATGTATCTTATTTGTAATCCAGCAATAACGGACCTCGTTAAAAGTGATGTTAAAGATGGAAGGAATCGTTTACATGAAAAACATGAGGATTTTAATTGCTTTGGAAAAACAAGGTTGACTGTATCCTTCTGAAATTTTATTATGTGAGAAATTCGCAACATTACAGTCGATCACGTCCACGAATATTTCACATCTACCAATAACCAATAAGAAAACTTATTTCAAACATACGAGTTTTGTAAATATGACTTTGATATTGATATCCTTTTCAAATAATTGATGGAGCTAACGCAGGTTTCACATGAAAAGAGAAAAGAGCTCTACAGATGTTATGTGGGGGTGATCTGCTATTTTCCCTGTACGTGGAACATCGGGCAGAATTAATCTCGGTAACACAGATGTTGTTTCTTTCCATGTCCGCCTCGGATCCAGGCTGAAAATTCATAATTAAACGATCAACAAAACGAAAATAACCAAAAGAAACGTTAATTTGATACAAAATATCACTGATTTCATATCGATTGAAGTCACTGGTTCTGAAGACTACTCTTTTTGTCTCAATTTTCTCTTGGCTGAACTGTACTAGATAAACTCATTTAGCCATAAGTCAGGATAAATATAGTGATCACATTGTGATTATCGCCCCTTCACGACAGCAATAACTTTTTATTGACACAAATCTGCATTGTGATTATCGTGATTATCGCCCATTGTTAGGCGACTATGAACTGCATTGTGATTATCGCCCAAATTTTATGACAAAGTTGCACTTCAATTTGATTATAGCCTATTTTGACAACAGCACTGATCTGTCGCCTCAATTTCAAGGCGACATTAAACTGCAAGACAATTATTTATTGCCTACTTTTGACGATTAAGCAAAACCGCATACGATAATCACATATTTATAAAAAAAAGTTATGTGTAAAACGATAAACGTAACATACTTATGATAATACTAAACGGCATTACGATTATCGACTGATATTTACACGAAATGTTACAGTTTTAGTCTCTTGTAATATATTTATAACAGATCATTTACACAGATTCTACACGCTGCCTCGATTATCACTTCATATCAAATTACTACTTAGTACATCGGTAACCGTTACTACAATAACACTGTAACTACATCACGATTATCACCACAGATTTACTACAATAACACTGTAACTATATCACGATTATCACCACAGATTTACTACAATAACACTGTAACTACATCACGATTATCACCACAGATTTACTACAATAACACTATAACTACATCACGATTATCAGCACAGATTTACTACAACACTATAACTACATCACGATTATCACCACAAATTTACTACAATAACAATGTAACTACATCACGATTATCACCACAGATTTACTACAATAACACTGTAACTACATCACGATTATCACCACAGATTTACTACAACAACACTGTAACTACATCACGATTATCAGCACAGATTTATACAATAACACTGTAACTACATCACGATTATCACCACAGATTTACTACAACACTATAACTACATCACGATTATCACCACAGATTTACTACAATAACACTGTAACTACATCACGATTATCACCACAGATTTACTACAACACTATAACTACATCACGATTATCACCACAGATACTACAATAACACTGTAACTACATCACGATTATCACCACAGATTTACTACAATAACACTGTAACTACATCACGATTATCACCACAGATTTACTACAATAACACTGTAACTACATCACGATTATCACCACAGATTTACTACAATAACACTGTAACTACATCACGATTATCACCACAGATACTACAATAACACTGTAACTACATCACGATTATCACCACAGATTTACTACAATAACACTGTAACTACATCACGATTATCACCACAGATTTACTACAACACTATAACTACATCACGATTATCACCACAGATTTACTACAATAACACTGTAACTACATCACGATTATCACCACAGATTTACTACAATAACACTGTAACTACATCACGATTATCACCACAGATTTACTACAATAACACTGTAACTACATCACGATTATCACCACAGATTTACTACAATAACACTGTAACTACATCACGATTATCACCACAGATTTACTACAACACTATAACTACATCACGATTATCACCACAGATTTACTACAATAACACTGTAACTACATCACGATTATCACCACAGATTTACTACAATAACACTGTAACTACATCACGATTATCATCACAGATTTACTACAATAACACTATAACTACATCACGATTATCACCACAGATTTACTACAACAACACTATAACTACATCACGATTATCACCACAGATTTACTACAACAACACTGTAACTACATCACGATTATCACCACAGATTTACTACAATAACACTGTAACTATATCACGATTATCACCACAGATTTACTACAATAACACTGTAACTACATGACGATTATCATCACAGATTTACTATTATCACCACAGATTTACTACAATAACACTGTAACTATATCACGATTATCACCACAGATTTACTACAATAACACTGTAACTACATGACGATTATCATCACAGATTTACTACAATAACACTGTAGCTACATGACGATTATCATCACAGATTTACTACAATAACACTGTAACTACATCACGATTATCACCACAGATTTACTACAATAACACTGTAACTACATCACGATTATCACCACAGATTTACTACAATAACACTGTAACTACATGACGATTATCACCACAGATTTACTACAATAACACTGTAACTACATGTAACTACATCACGATTATCACCACAGATTTACTACAATAACACTGTAACTACATCACGATTATCACCACAGATTTACTACAACACTATAACTACATCACGATTATCACCACAGATAATCCAAAAACACAGTAACTACAACTCGATTATCACCACAGATTTACTACAACACTATAACTACATCACTATTATCACCACATATTTACTACAACACTATAACTACATCACGATTATCACCACAGATTTACTACAATAACACTGTAACTACATCACGATTATCACCACAGATTTACTACAACACTGTAACTACATCACGATTATCACCACAGATTTACTACAATAACACTGTAACTACATCACGATTATCACCACAGATTTACTACAACACTATAACTACATCACGATTATCACCACAGATTTACTACAATAACACTGTAACTACATCACGATTATCACCACAGATTTACTACAATAACACTGTAACTACATCACGATTATCACCACAGATACTACAATAACACTGTAACTACATGACGATTATCACCACAGATTTACTACAATAACACTATAACTACATCACGATTATCACCACAGATTTACTACAATAACACTGTAACTACATCACGATTATCACCACAGATTTACTACAATAACACTATAATACATCACGATTATCACCACAGATTTACTACAATAACACTGTAACTACATGACGATTATCACCACAGATTTACTACAATAACACTGTAACTACATCACGATTATCACCACAGATTTACTACAATAACACTGTAACTACATCACGATTATCACCACAGATTTACTACAACACTATAACTACATCAAGATTGTCACTTTTGATTTACAAGGGCACGCTCCAGATATGATTTTTTTTTAAAATTCTGTTCGATTCTCCCACATTGCCACCACGAATGTCACTGTTTTTAAGGCGACAACGTCATGCCAAATTACCACACTCGATATTTTACTGACGATAACAGTGCGATTCTATATACGATTACACACAATATTTTACGACCTTGTCTTTCCATTCTATTATTATCTCATTATGTTTAAGTAACGTGACTATTACGTTAAATTTGTTTCACTGTGTTGTGGTACAGTAATTTCCAATTATGATACAAAAACAACTTTGATATACCAAGTTGTCTGTACATTTTAGAATGCTGATGTTCGAAACGTCTTTAATTTTCTGGAGAGTTCGATGATGTAACGTCCATGTATGTTGCATGAGACAGTCTTATATTTTATACACGTGTGTAGTATACACATGTATCGAAGTGTATGACCATGCCACACAATTCTTATCCTCAGGAGCACCACACATTCACCAACCATGCAGCATCTATGGAAAATCTCAAGAAGTATGTTTGTCCTAGCCTCCCAAAGTGTAAGAAAGGTACTTAAATAATTGAATTGCATGTTTGTGCATGCGTCTTATTGTTCCTTTAGTATAAATCCAGTCTATAAGTACATATGTACCTTTTGTACTAGGAAAGTTTCCATAATTTATTATATCCTATATTAAATGACAGGTTTAAAGTAACATTATTGACGACAAAAACAAGTTGTAGGTAATCACTTTAAGCTAAACTTTCACTGTTGTGGATACAATCTGATCGGGAGACGTACCACGCGAAACTCAACAATACTCGAGATTTGTATTACACTATTTGTATGGTGCTGTTATGTTTACAAATAATTGTGAGCCCTTCACAGAGTCGAGCGAACAGTTGATTTTGGCATCGTGGCGAGACCTGCTGTGAGATTTTGCTCATATCAAAATGTTTAAGCAGTTTAGGGTTTATTTTAAGTCGTGGAGACACTCCAATAACATTCGCTTTTAAGCGATAAATTGTTTATGCTTTATCGCCTATTATATTCACAAAAAAAAACCCGAAGGAAAACAATGTTGTTTACGTAACAATTCCTTAACAGGTACACGGCAGTGGTGACGTCATTGTACATTTATGACATCACAATCGTTTTTTGACAACAGCCACAGATGAAGAAAACGATCTTGGGTATATTACCCTAGTGACATATACAAAAACTATTACATGTGTTAAACCACAAGATAACAGACAAATTAGGTGATCGATATAGGATTTTATATGATTTTCGGTTTCATATGTGAATTTATGAAACGAGTCAAAGAATTTTAAAGCATGTTCTTGCTATATCTAACCATTGTTACGCTGGCGCAATCATGTGAATGTGTGACGTCATTTCATTTTATAAAGTGACGTCAAAGTACATCACACATGTTTTTTCACTGAATAACCAGGCAATCTTGTGATATAAGATATAAGCGATAGTCTCAATAGTAGAAAATAGTAAGTTTACTTTTTTAAACTCATTTCTGACCAATTTGTTCATTTGGAGTTAAATGATCAATTCTCCCATGGTGCAATGTGGACGTCAAGAGCGACAACTTTGGCAGACATAACCTTCTAAAATGGTAGGTAACACGTTATACTGAACTGTCTCGATTCTGATTAATCTGAGTATCTATCTGAGTGTTTTATGTGTTGTAGTCACTTTATGATTTGATTTGTATCTTAGATACGAAAACTATATATCTGTCGAAGATGTGTTTATAGAGAACTTGTATCAGATATATAGACATAATGACAACAAATCTATATACCTGTCGGAGTTGTGTTTATAGAGAACTTGTATCAGATATATAGACATAATGACAACAAAACTATATATCTGTCGGAGTTGTGTTTATAGAGAACTTGTATCAGATATATAGAAATAATGACAACAAAACTATATATCTGTCGAAGATGTGTTTATAGAGAACTTGTATCAGATATATAGACATAATGACAACAAATCTATATACCTGTCGGAATTGTGTTTATAGAGAACATGTATCAGATATATAGACTTAATGACAACAAATCTATATACCTGTCGGAGTTGTGTTTATAGAGAACTTGTATCAGATATATAGACATAATGACAACAAATCTATATACCTGTCGGAGTTGTGTTTATAGAGAACAGATATATAGACATATGTATTGTGTTTATAGAGAACAGATATATAGACTTAATGACAACAAATCTATATACCTGTTGTCGGAGTTGTGTTTATAGAGAACTTGTATCAGATATATAGACATAATGACAACAAATCTATATACCTGTCGGAGTTGTGTTTATAGAGAACTTGTATCAGATATATAGACATAATGACAACAAATCTATATACCTGTCGGAGTTGTGTTTATAGAGAACTTGTATCAGATATATAGACTTAATGACAACAAATCTATATACCTGTCGGAGTTGTGTTTATAGAGAACTTGTATCAGATATATAGACATAATGACAACAAATCTATATACCTGTCGGAGTTGTGTTTATAGAGAACATGTATCAGATATATAGACGTAATGACAACAAATCTATATACCTGTCGGAATTGTGTTTATAGAGAACTTGTATCAGATATATAGACATAATGACAACAAAACTATATACCTGTCGGAGTTGTGTTTATAGAGAACTTGTATCAGATATATAGACATAATGACAACAAATCTATATATCTGTCGGAGTTGTGTTTATAGAGAACTTGTATCAGATATATAGACATAATGACAACAAAACTATATATCTGTCGGAGTTGTGTTTATAGAGAACTTGTATCAGATATATAGACATAATGACAACAAAACTATATACCTGTCGGAGTTGTGTTTATAGAGAACTTGTATCAGATATATAGACATAATGACAACAAAACTATATATCTGTCGGAGTTGTGTTTATAAGTATATCAGATATATATTGGTTCTCCGGCAATAGAAGTTATCATCTGTTAATATTTGGAAACTCGTGAAAAATATCACACTTTTCATCCCACTCGATGTAATGAAACTGTTATTTTTAGAGAAACAAAGGAAATATACTTTACAAAACACCTGTATCAATTAGACGTTCATATATGTTACTCTTGAACGTAGAATAGTATATCCAAGGTACTCGTATAATTTGGAGGGAAAAAGACATGATATGTGGGAACACGTGTCCTTGTTTCCACAATAGGTTATAGGGAGAATAGCCAGAAGGAAAAAGCAGCACCTTTCCTTGCCTTCGAGGAAGGTTTGGAGGAAAATGGACTGCAGGAAAGGGCAGCACCTTTCCTTGTCTTCATCGAAAATTATGAAGAGAACGGCTGTAGGAGAGGGCAGCCTATTTCCTTGCCTTCGCGATAGGTTTTGAGAAGCCCAGGCGTGGTCTACGGGAATGAAATGATTGGCACATAACCCAAAGCATAGATGTTGGACAAATGGAAAAACCACAAACAAACAAATATGCATTTTAAGTATGATATTCATACAAACACAGGACATGTCCTTTAGTTAACTTTTTACGGTAAAGTTTATATATTATTACAAAAACCTGAGTGGCTCCTGGCCTAGAAACGAGATCGTCTTATAGATATCTATACGGCTGATTCTGACTCGTATTACTTGTGTAGAACCTGGAATTTTCGGTCAAGTCGTTAATAAATTCCATTTATCTTAAAAATATTTAAAGGTGTTCAAGTGAATTGTAGTTACCTGGTATTTCAAAATCAGAAGAAATAGTCGACGGTGCAATATATATTGCATTAGTTCTAGCGGAGTGGTGTGTCTAGATCAAGGTTTTTATCAGTTATTATTTTGTGGGTCAGAGAAGTTTGGGAATTGTATGTACAATTATCGGTTTGTTTTCGCACATTTTTTTTTTTTTTTTTGATAACTCAACTTTTGCTTGGATGCATTTGAAATGTATTTAAAGGGAAACAACTCGTAGTGGACTAAAAGAAAGAAAAAAGAAGAAATAAAAAAATGTCACCCTAGATACTATTTAGACATGCCAATTTTTATGAGATAACAAACAGTGCAGTAACTTTAAAGGCTTCATCTCAGTTGAGATTTATCATAACACACCATTTTCATGTAGAAAGTTCGTATACACGTGTACGCTATGCAAATTGTTTTTTTTTTTAATATCACGATGTATACATATTATTCTTTAATATTTATTTCATTTGTTCATACCCGATCAGTATTTCTATAACATATATGTACAATCAAAGTCTCGCTTAAGAAATCTGTTTATTTATTATTTTTTATGAATTTTATGTTTTATCAATTTCCCCCTGCGTGGTCTCCTCGTTAAATACCACATATCCAAATGTACTTCCGTGTTTTCATTTCGGTTAAAACGCTTAATTCGATGAGAAATAGTTATATGTGTCCCGTAGTTGCAGCTGTTGATGTTTAAATACTAGTTAGATACGAGAAATATATTTTGTAACATTATTCTGAATTGTTTTGTTTCGCCGGTTGTAAATATTTACAAGTGTATCACCATACCATGATATAGGAAATTTGAAGTAAAGAGGTACCACAAGGGGAAATTGGTAGAATATTTGTATTGTTATTTTGTAATATTTTTGCAACAAAATTTGTTTTCTTTCGTGTTTTTATCGTATCTATCATATTCTTAATCTCCAACGTGACATAAATTCAGTTTAAAACATTTATCTAAACTATGGAGACAGTGTATCATTCAGACTATTTATATACACATATTTTGCTGACCTCAAAAGATTTTCGATAGGAAAGTACCTGTTACTATATTTAGTCAGCATAAGCATTTATAGGTAGCTGACGTCATTTTCGATGACATGGAGGTAGCCGAGTAACGTCCCTTGGTAAAACAAGTCCCGACATGTCTCGCCCATCTCTTTACTGAACAAAAGGAACAGACTTTAAATCTCCACGCTGGAAGTTTAAATGTGCCCGTTGGATTTTATTTCATAGTTTTATTTCGTCTGATATATCCTAGTCAAGGAGGGTGAGTAAAAAGTGCTGTCATTTTGAGTTTATATAACTTTTACCTAAAAATTCAACGCTGTTTAAAACTTGGTCAACTACAGAACGGTAAAGCCACTGTTATTTCACTGTTCGCCGATTACCTGCACCATCAACTGTCTGACTGGTATATTGTTAGGTGCATTTGTCTGGTTTATGACATGTTATCATTTTTATTTTCAGTGTTAGATCATAGGATAACATTATGAGTTCATGTTAATGTTGTATTATGTACTGTTTTAGAAATGTTAAATTTGAGTGGGAGGGGTAGCTATGAGGCTCGATCTGTCACCAGCCATTATCACACGAGTCAGCAGTTTTTCTATCATACATCTTACTCTATGTTGTACTAACATGATAGCTCAGAATATGCATTGATTTTATTTGTTTTCATTGTTGATAAATTAATTGCATTTTGATAGTAAATTATCAAATTTAAATAAATAGTTTAATTTTGAAGCTTGAAACAATGCTAGAATTGCAACACTCCTCCTTGGTAACGATTGAGATGAAA